CTTTGGCGGCTTTGTTTCCAATTATTAAACAGTTTACAAGCATGAAAACTTCCCAGTCAACTGTTGTTATTGTTATAAACAGCCTCCTGGTGCTTCTGAGCTCATTAACTGTTTAATAATTGGAAACAAAGCCGCCAAAGATTGCGAAAAAGATGTACAGGTTCGTAAGTGCTTGCGTAAGTGCTTCCGTGAATCTGGCCCCAGGAGAATATGGCTTAAACAAGTTAAAATGAGGCTGTTTCAGACAGCCCTCCTGTCTGAAACCGCGTTTCAGTGGCTCAGCAGAATGCATTCAGACGACGGGATTAAAGTGATAGAAATGAGGTGGTGTTGAAATTGGATCAACTACTGGAAGCTTGGGATTTCTGGGTGAATCTTAATGTGAATAGATAGAATAGAACTTAAGATCTTGCATAGAAACATCACAGTATCTCTTGAATTCAACATTTCCATAGACTTGCATTTGCATTATATTACACAGCCCAAGGTTAGATATTACACATAATTTAATGTTATTTTTTTGTATATAATTGTGCCAATCAAGTGCTTCCAGATTTGACTAAATCTTTAGGCGCTTTTCAACGAAAATTTATTATTTTCGAATAAGTCATTATTATAAGTCAGTTATTGAGTGTTATGTCGTTGCAGTCTTATTTAAGACACGATATATCTGTCGGGACAAGATGGCAGCTTTCTTAGTTCATGTTTCTTATGAATATCTCTATGTATTACATGGCTATGTATTACACGTAAGATAAAACGCAGAATGTGGCAAATTTTACTGACCAAACATGTATAATATGTAAACATCACTAATGTAGGCACTCAAGCACAATAATGACAGACGATATGAAGTTCATATATGAGGAACTCTTGTTGAGACATTGTGCAACTTGGCCTCAGATCTGCAATTTCGACATTTCGAGGAGCCTGTCTGGAAGATGGGCTCCAGGTCTTGTTGTGGTACTCGGCTTGAGATCATATTGTTGTGTTTCGTGGGGGTCAGCCAGGCAGGTTGGCTCTAGGTCTTTTATGGTACTTGGCAAACATAGTGTTGTGTTTTATCTGGTGTTCAGTCTCGGTATCTACATGTTTACTTCTCTGGATCTCTGCGTGTGCAGAGACCCCGGCAGAGAACTCCTGCATTGTCTGCAACAGTAATGTATCTTGACTGTATTCCACGTATAATGATAACTGGTGTGCATGTCTGACCCACAAAGAGACGGCTCGGGCTATGTAGCTAAGCAGTACGACTACTAATGCAGGGGGAGGCCCCCCTGCGATGCAACAGGGGCCCAGCCTCCGTTTTCATTGGGGGTTTATTTTATTATCGAGCCCCCCTGATGCGTTAAGCTTCCTAAAACTATCAACAACATCGTACGCTCTCGTTTGGACACAAACTCAATTATCATATATCTCTTTTAAACTCCATCTTTTGTGGCTATTTCTAGTTCTAAACATTAGCTCTTCTCTCTCTCTTTCTTCACTCGCAACCTGTGATCTTCACTTCAAGCTGCAGCCAATATGCGCTGGGTTGTTGTTGTTTAAGATTCGCTACCTGGAACAAAAAGTTCCAAGTAGCACGGGCTATGGTGAGCCCGTAGTATGCGCTGGGATATGGAGACTGGTATATGGGGGCCATGTATATGCTCCATATGCATTAGACAACGCATTCGAATATACGCTCAGGTGTTCTAACATAGATAGACATGGGGGTCGATGTGGGTCCTGGTGACTGATAAGCAATTCGATGCAGGAATTGATTCTTAAGGCAAAACTGAGATCTTCTTTTCAGAAAGAGTAGGCCGGACTAGACAATTTTTCAACTTGATTGTTCCAATAATGTTATAACATTCAGTGGCTTCATTTGGGTTCGAACCGCACTGTCCAGCAACATTTTGTCTTTCCTAAGACAAAAATTCTCATTTTTGCAATGGCCATATTCTTTTCAATCCACCCAATAAACGCCATGATTATAAAAGAAAAAAGATCAACGCTTTACACACAACTCTCAACTGAGGACGCAACCCGTCCTCAGACCAAGACCATTCCATCCAGCGGTCGACCCCAAAGACGCATTCATAAATTTCAACATTCTGTTGATTTAAAACAGGAATTTTCTCAAATAAAAATTAATATCATTTTATATTACCGTATTGTACATATTTAGGCACTGGTTAGGTTATGTGTTAGGGGGTTTGGCGGGTGCATGGAATCACTTTTGGGTCTTTGTTTGGAGGACGGGCTGAGTGACGTCCTGCCCGTCCTCCAAACAAAGACCCAAAAGTGATTCCATGCACACGCCAAACCCCCTGTTTATGAATGAAAAACGGTTTACACACGAATCACAACTGGTAACCTCCGAACACTTCCGGAACAAGTGCTTCACTGACGACTTTTGTTCGAACCACAACGCTGTAAATGCTTCACCAACGTACTTCAAATACAAATAATCGCCAACAGAACAAACCTAACCTATGCCTATATATGCGCAATATGCTATGATATTATAATATTAATTTGTGTTTGAGAAAATTCGTGTTTTGAATGAACAGCATGTAAAAATTTATGAATATAGGAGGTCGACCGCTGGATGGAATGGACTTGAGTCGAGAACGGGTTGAAATGCTTTTCCCACATGCTTCATATGCAAATAATCGCCTACAGAACCTAATACTTAACCTAACATTCGCCTAACTATACATACAACGTTATTATATAATGATATTAATATGTAAAGGAGAACAAACCTATTTTTAATACACAGTAAGTTTAAGTGATTAATGCTTCTTGGCGAGGGTGGAGAAGGCCGCATCTTTAACGAGCTTGGTCTGACGACAGGTGGCAACATAAACAAAAGTAACATAGACGTTTCTCCCACTATCTTCCTCCCATCTCGGCCGTTAACCTTATACAAGATGGTACAGGAATGAGAGAGTGAGTGTTAGGTGAAAGCAAGCAGGTAGTGAGAACAGATTAACATAGACAGTTTAATAGATTATCATAGACAGTTTAACAGATTAACATAGACAGTTTAACAGATTAACATAGACAGTTTAACAGATTAACATAGACAGTTTAACAGATTAACATAGACAGTTTAACAGATTAACATAGACAGTTTAACAGATTAACATAGACAGTTTAACAGATTAACATAGACAGTTTAACAGATTAACATAGACAGTTTAACAGATTAACATAGACAGTTAAACAGATTAACATAGACAGTTTAACAGATTAACATAGAGAGTTTAACAGATTAACATAGGCAGTTTAACAGATTAACATAGGCAGTTTAACAGATTAACATAGACAGTTTAACAGATTAACATAGACAGTTTAACAGATTAACATAGGCAGTTTAACAGATTAACATAGACAGTTTAACAGATTAACATAGACAGTTTAACAGATTAACATAGGCAGTTTAACAGATTAACATAGACAGTTTAACAGATTAACATAGCCTGCTAACAGGAGTCAAGCGACGTCTACTCCTGAATGGACATGTGTTAAATGCAAAAACGTGTACTGCAAAGCACAAATCCAAGAACTGAGAGAGAGAGAGAGAGGAGAGAGAGAGAGAGAGAGAGAGAGAGAGAGAGAGAGAGAGAGAGAGAGAGAGAGAGAGAGAGAGAGAGAGAGAGAGAGAATAAATGCGTGATCCATAATTGACGGATGGAAAGAGACACTTAAAATAAAATTCGATTAATAACGAAAATAAATTAAACCAAATTTACTTAATCAATTAGTGAAAAACTTTGCTAATGAGAAGATAATGTAATTGATTTACGGAAACGCAGGAGTAACGCGTGCTCGGTGTTGTTAAGGTCCTGTACAGAGTAGGTATTATGCTTACACAACCACTTGGGCTGAACGGTAGAGCGACGGTCTCGCTTCATGCAGGTCGGCGTTCAATCCCCAACCGTCCAAATTTTTATCTTGACCCATTTTCAAGTCCTATATAGGCTTGTCGCTTTCCTCCAATAATTCCCATCACTGGGTCATCTTAAGGGCAAGATAAGCTCGCTGTTCACATTCGTACCATCCTATGTAGGACAAGAACAAGTTATTCATGATGAACATGCTCGCTTTCTCCTCTTAAGGTCAAGAGCACGACATGCATGATATTCAGATTAGAATATCAAACAGAAGTGGAGGAGAAATCACGTCACGACACTGGATCGTGACAAAAACTTAGGTAACAAAAAAATTAATGTACAGTTTTATCAACTTGAATTACAATAACAGAGTGGAAATGTTGAACACGGGAATGCTAATTATCCTACCTCCTGAAGACAGGATTTAACCCACGTAACTCACACTCTGGAGAGAGGAAAAGGGAATGTGCGAGTTGGTATAGTGAGTATTGGGGTGAGAATCTTAATGAGGAAACATGTGAAATACACGCAAGTACAGAGTGAACTTTCGTACACATCCGTATAGATAGTCGCGTGTGGACTTGTTGGCCCCGGCGGACTTGTGGCCCCGGTGGACTTGTTGGCCCCGGTTGATTTGTGGCCCTGGTGGACTTGTGACCTCGGTGGACTTGTGGCCCCGGTGGACTTGTGGCCCTGGTGGACTTGTGGCCTCAGTGGACTTGTGGCCCCGGTTTACTTGTTAGCCCCGGTGGACTTGTCGCCCTGGTGGACTTGTGGCCCCGGTGGGCTTGTGGCCCCAGTGGACTTGTGGCCCCGGTGGACTTGTGGCCCTGGTGGACTTGTGGCCCTGGTGGACTTGTAGACCTGGTGGACTTGTGGCCCCGGTGGACATGTGGCCCCGGGTGGCCTCGGTGGACTTGTGGCCTCGGTGGACTTGTTATCCCCGGTGGACTTGTGGCCCTGGTGGACTTGTGGCCCCGGTGGACTTGTGGCCCCGTGGACTTGTGGCCCGGTGGACTTGTGACCCTGGTGGACGTGTGAGCCTGGTGGACTTGTGGCCTCAGTGGACTTGTGGCTCCGGTGGACTTGTGGCCCCGGTGGACTTGTGGCCCCGGTTTACTTGTTAGCCCCGGTGGACTTGTCGCCCTGGTGGACTTGTGGCCCCGGTGGACTTGTGGCCCCAGTGGACTTGTGGCCCCGGTGGACTTGTGGCCCTGGTGGACTTGTGGCCCTGGTGGACTTGTGGACCTGGTGGACTTGTGGCCCCGGTGGACATGTGGCCCCGGGTGGCCTCGGTGGACTTGTGGCCTCGGTGGACTTGTTATCCCCGGTGGACTTGTGGCCCTGGTGGACTTGTGGCCCCGTGGACTTGTGGCCCCGGTGGACTTGTGGCCCCGTGGACTTGTGGCCCCGGTGGACTTGTGACCCTGGTGGACATGTGGCCCCGGTGGACTTGTGGCCCCGGTGGACTTGTGGCCTCGGTGGACTTGTTAGCCCCGGTGGACTTGTGGCCCTGGTGGACTTGTGACCCCGGTGGACTTGTGGCCCCGGTGGACTTGTGGCCCCGGTGGACTTGTGGCCCCGGTGGACTTGTGGCCCTGGTGGACTTTTGGCCCCGGTGGACTTGTGGCCCTGGTGGACTTGTGGCCCCGGTGGACTTGTGGCCTCGGTGGACTTGTTAGCCCCGGTGGACATGCAGTTGTAGTTGACTGAACTTGTGTATGAACAACTGGTATTAATTAGCCTTCTTTAATCCAATACTTTCAGGGGTATCCCGCGGTGTCCGGGTCTCTCGTTTTTTCTCCTTTCTCTCTCCCTTTTACTTTCTCCCCCCCCCCCCCTTACCTTCCCTTCCGACCTTTCCCCCATATTTTTCTTCCCCGACAGTTACGTTAATGGCAAAAGAGAGGTGCATAAAATGCAATATACAATAGCTGTTCGCATGTACGGTTTCCGGGAAGGCTACAGTAGATGTTAATGCTTTGAGAGCACGAAGTGTATTCTGAGGACTGGCCGTTGTTGTTATTATAGATTCGCTACTGGAACAAAGTTCCAAGTAGCACGGGCTATGGTGAGCCCGTAGGGGTAGAACTAGCCGGTGGTGAGCTGCTTATATACGCGTGCCAGACCTAGTGTAGATGGCGCTGATGTGTAGGTAACTATCGCTAGCAGTCTTAAACAAGCGGTTAGGCTGGTCGACCTGCGAGTGAAGTTATCCCTAGACAGCAGGTGACCAGGCGTCTTGGGTACTTGAGGGTGGCGGGGGGAGGGTGGTGTCTTGTCTAGACACAGGCTTCTGAGCACGTATTACTGTTGTTGATGTTGATTCCTTATACTGGAGCATGGAGCAGGGCACCTGACAGCTGGGTGGACAGCGCTTCGGATTCGTAGTCCTGAGGTCCCGGGTTCGATCCCCGGTGGAGGCAGATACAAATGGGTAAAATGTTTCTTTCACCCTGATGCTCCTGTTACCTAGCAGTAAATAGGTACCTGGTAGTTAGACAGCTGCAACGGGCTGCTTCCTGGGGGTTGTGTAACAAAAAGGAGGCCTGGTTAAGAACCGGGCCGCGGGGACGCTAAGCCCCGAAATCATCACAAGATATCCTCAAGATATGCAGATAATGTTGGTGAATAGATGGTAAAGGAGTAGGCAGGATCTTCTGCTCAAGCCGGAGATTACAGTAAAAAAAAATCATAATTTTGTCGTGATCAGTGCATAAAGTTTTTCATTATGGTATGGCATAATAATAATTCAGAGTTGAGTCATATTGGTAAAGAGACGTTTTTCAAGCAGAGTTACCTTGGCAGTGTTATGTGGCATTGTTTTCTTTGGTATCAATTCTGGCCCGCCCATGATAACAAGTATTGGGAAAAAAACTAGATGACCCTAGCCAGAAGCGCTGGGCTTGCAACCTCCAACAGTCTGACGAACAGACAAACATTTATATTTAGAAATGCAGATTACTTACAGGATCCTCATAATGTTATATTTATAAGGACGAGAGAGAAGCTTCAGCAAACAGTGCTTTTCATCCTCATTCAGGAGAGCACTTCCCTGTAGGAGACTTTCTCCACTTTGTGGTAATTTAAGCGTCACAGATAGGTATAATTAATGTTTTTTAAACCCTATAATTTTCCAATGTAGGTAGAAATTGGCGTAAAACTGAGCTCGAAAAACAAATCACATCTCGGAACAGAGTTATAACTGCCGTAACAAAAGCTACGTCATGTGTAACTTTTGGCGAGCTAAGGGAGATCATTTATAAACAATTTACGTTTACACATTTACGTTTACGACACGTTTACGTTTACGACACTGAGCGATTGTCGTTAAGTATCAGTGGGGGTCATTACTCACTCCGATACACCCATGCAATGAGTGATCAATAATAATGACATGTATTGATGCTGGGGAGAATACACACATCACCGGTCACTCAGGTTAAGGCCGGCAGTGGACGGGGGACCGTGCGAACAACCTCTACTTTGGCTAGAAGAATTTCATAAACCTTCACCTGCTTCTAGTCCTCGATGGTGATATATCAGGCCATAAGGTTCAAAGCTCACCTTGCGTTCCAAGATCGGCCAATTAACCTCCCATACACACACTACACTACAATACACTACATTACACTACATTACACTACACTACACTACACTACACTACACTACATTACACTACAATACACTACATTACACTACACTACACTACACTACACTACATTACACTACATTACACTACATTACACTACACTACACTACACTACACTACACTGCATTACACTACTCTACTCTACTCTACTCTACTCTACTCTACTCTACTCTACTCTACTCTACACTACACTACACACAGAAATCACAATAGCGTGATGCATCGTCACGGCCCTTGTGGATTTGTTGATTTAACCTCCCATATTTAGATCTGTTCAATGCATCCTTCCTATAACATTTTTTAGTCAATTAAAATTATTCTTTTCATAAATCTGGCACCTTAACAGAATTTTCTCTGGACAAATCTGTTCTATTCTTTGGAAATTCTGATTTCCCTGTGATCACTGTTCCTCAGTTCACTCCCTATTTCGATGTCACCTATTTGCTTCCACTGTTTCTAAGATAGTAATTTCCGTGTTGGCTTCTTAATGTGTTGTCCAACTACTTTGGCTGGACGGTAGAGTGACGATTTCGCTTCATGCAGATCGGCGTTCAATCCCCGACCGTCCAAGTGGTTGGGCACCATTCTTTCCCTCCCCTCGTCCCATCCCAAATCCTTATCCTGACTCTTGTTACTGTTGCTTTAGATTTAGCTACTCAGAAAGAAATGTCCATGTAGCACGGGCTATGGTGAGCCCGTAACTCCTGACTCCTTCCAAGTATTATATAGTCATAACACCTTGACTCTTTCCCCCCTGAGAGTTCCCTACCTTTCTTAATGTGTTGCTTAAGGAAACAATTGTCAATCGAAAATAATATTCAGTTTTATCTTGGCATTGGACCCCATTTAGACATTGCCATTCAGTTTTGGTCCTGTTTAAAATGGACATTAATTCACTTGAACACAAACAGAGAAGGTTGACAAAAGTTAATCTCGGTAATTAAAACCTTTATCGTTAATGCTAGAAAAATATACTTAATTTATATTTACAAGAAAGATGAAGAGTAAGGGTGACATATGTAGAAGTATATAGAGAGAGATGAAAGGTATAACAAAGGGGATATAACAAAGGTTATATCCCCTTATAACAAAATATACACGACACGATGGGTATTGAATTGAGTACTTTTCGATTCAGGAATGACCTGGAGTATGTACTGGTTTAGAAATATAGCCATTAATATACTGACAAAAATCAACCGGTTAACCTAATAGACGTAGCAGCTCTGACGTATTCAGGTATAGGCTACACCTTTATATATATATATATATATATATATATATATATATATATATATATATATATATATATATATATATTTATGACAATGTCAGACCACGGAGGAAAAATGAAACAGGAATTTCCTTAAGTACTTTCGTATATTAAATACATCTTCAGAAGGTCTTCTGACCTTCTGAAGATGTATTTAATATACGAAAGTACTTAAGGAAATTCCTGTTTCATTTTTCCTCCGTGGTCTGACATTGTCACATTCTTAATCACGTGTTTATTTTCGTGATATGCACACACACACACACATATATATATATATATATATATATATATATATATATATATATATATATATATATATGTCGTACCTAGTAGCCAGAACTCACTTTTCAGCCTACAATGCAAAGCCCGATTTTCCTAATAAGCCAAGTTTTCATGAATTAATATATTTTCTCTAATTTTTTTCTTATGAAACGATAAAGCAACCCATTTCATTATGTAAGAGGTCAATTTTTTTTTATTGGAGTTAAAATTAACGTAGATATATGACCGAACCTAACCAACCCTACCTAACCTAACCTAACCTATCTTTATAGGTTAGGTTTGGTTAGGTAGCCGAAAAAGTTAGGTTAGGTTAGGTTAGGTAGGTTAGGTAGTCGAAAAGCAATTAATTCATGAAAACTTGGCTTATTAGGCAAATCGGGCCTTGCATAGTAGGCTCAGAAGTGAGTTCTGGCTACTAGGTACGACATATATATATATATATATATAAATTTGTGAGGGTACCACCTCTGGTGCCAATGTGGGGACCCATAGCCTCGGAGAAGAAAATAAAAAGTATTCAGAGGAGACCTTGTGGTTTCTCACTGAACACTAATATTATCTTCTCCTACCACCCCCATTCTTTTGTATGTACACATATATATTTACTTTATTTGAACTTTGTTACAAAAAAGGAGTTACATATGGGTTACAAAGATGGTTGTCATAGGTTGTCGAGTTCCTCCAGCTCCTCAGATGGCGGGCAGGAACCCTGGATGCAGTGCGCATTTCCCCTCTGTATCGCCACACTGAGGCGCTGGAAAAGAAAGCTTGCAGCTCTCGGGTCCCTTGTTGTTTCAATGAGCCTAGATATATATAATATATATATATATATATATATATATATATATATATATATATATATATATATATATATATATATATATATATATATATATATATATATATGAATAAATTTGGGTTGATATAAATAGAATAGGATATATATAAATGAGCCTTGTGGATCATAAGACCTTCCAAAGTATACATCAATTTTTTTTTCTTATGAGACAGTATATGAAGCTGTATAATGCTTCTTGAATATCCTTTACCAGGAAGGCGACTCTCCGCTCCGGCCGGGAATCTTGACACATTTACTCATAATCTTAAAAAGCAACAAAATATCAATTTAAATCGTCATTGTGTCGTCGGCAATTATCATATTAGAATAATTGTCTGATGGTGAGGTTGTCGTGTCATCTTGGCCATCATGGCCTCCAGCCCGACCACATGCTGGCTCCTCCCACCACTTTATGACCCGTAATGATTATTATACATTGTGTAAACACCTGTAATGTGGCATTAACACCTGCGAGGCTCGGGCATAACGCTGGGGTAGAGCGCAGTCTTACAATACCTGTTGCTTGTGCCGGGGCGCGCCCTAGTGTCTGCTCTACCATGACTCCTGGAGCCAGGGGGCGCCCCCTGTGTCTGCTCACCCACTACACCTGAAGCCAGGGGGCGCCCCTGTGTCTGCTCACCCACTAC